ACTCTTTCTTTACTATCTTTTAACTCATAATTCTTTAAAATTAATGTTATTTTAAAAATGTACAGAATTACAAACAAGAATATAAATGCAATAAAATCATACCTGGTGTTTAATGAAAGCATATATACATTTGATAATGTCCCTTTTTTGTATATATATCAAATCAATAATTATCTATTTCTATGTATATCTAATTAAACCCTTCAAATTTGTTCCTGCTTTCAGAATTGTCAATGTATTCTGACTTGTGTTTTTGAGGACGGGAGCGCTACATTTTTTACACCATGTAAATTAACGAGCACACTGAAAATGAAATATTAGTGTACCGGCACCATAATTTTAAAATACAATAAAACTATATATAGCCATATAAACATACACTTGAATGTATATAAATATACTTACATTATTTTTAACCAGAAAAATCTTCTGAGTTCGTCTTTTTTCTAATTTAGTAGAACACAAATTTTGTAAGTGTAGAATGTTTTAAATCTATGCATAAATAAAGAACATACATGGAAGGCTGTAACCGTACATACAACTGACTCAAGCATGAATGAGATGCAGCTTACCTTGAAGGAAAATTTATTATTCATTTCAGATTTTTTTTAACACCAAGAAAATATTTTAGTAAAAGCGACATATGCAAGACAATTACCTGTGATTGTTCCATTTCTGCTTTGTTTAATTTGATGCCAAGTATGTCAGCAGCAATTCTCTGAAAACACAGGAAGACCTACATAAAAAAATAGAGCTTAAATGATTAAAAACAGACATCCTCCAGTTACTTTTAAATACATCAGACCTTTCCTGAACTGTAAACAATGAGATATGCAAAAATATGATCTGTGCAAAGCAGATCTGAAAATAACTTCATCTTGTAAATTCAATACTGTTTAAAATAATTCAGCAATGATATAAAGGTAGAACAGCACTCTGGATTGTTAAGCAACACTTCTACTTTATCTCCAGAGACTTAAATTTAAACAATTGCTTATACTAAACCCCTCTCAAATATGATGGTTAGCTTTGCAAAGTATGGACATGGGTATTCACTAATGTTTGCTTGAAAAATATTTTACCATTGCATTGTGCAGCAGAAATACGGTTTCCGTACCTTAGAACAATAAGGTTTAGAGATACACCACTGGGACCCTATTCTGCATATGATTAGTTCTGCACTTAAAGTTAGGCAAACATGCATTTGTAAAATAGTATCCTAAATCCACAAAGGTTTTAAGAAACAACATTATCTCATTACTAACATGCTGCATTTAAAATATGTGGCAGCCTGGCACTGAATCAGATTTAGACAATAAAACAAGATGGACATGTTGCATAAAACCCCTTTTAAAAATGAAATTATTCCCTAGAATGATACTTGGGCTGTACCTAAGCTATAAGATTTTTCTTTTGTCCTTGAATTAGTTGGATACAGACAGTTAAACAAAATTAATCACATCCATACTGAGTCAGTTTAAAAATCCTTGCATTTTTACCCTGCTACCAAAAATCCCTGAATCTAAACAATTTCCATTGCAATGCGCTATGGATATCTATTTCCCCTTCCCAGCACAGCTCCCAAAAGAACTGAAAGTCCTCTGCTCTACTGTGAGACAGTAGCATAAGAATTAGCAGTGGTGGAAGTAATTTAAAATTTCTTACAGGTACTGTCCTATTGTAACCCAGGTCCCTGCCAGTTCTTTAAATAGCTCCCAGCTGGCTTTTGCCACAGCTCAGCCAGTTCTTGCCAGAGCCTTCACCAGGGCACACCCGCTTAACTTTCTCATCTGAGAATGAATGAAACTATTTCAGCTAGTCCATATCTACACGGGCATTAAGGTGAGTAATACTGAACTCTTAGATTGAATACACTCATCCGGGAGATTTAAGAATGGAGTAGAAGCTTTAACTTTATAAGTAGCTGCTCACAAGAGATGATACTTCAGTGTAATGTATTCTTTTAGGTTAAAATATCTTTACAGTTTTTAGCCAACAAATTAAAAAACTCAACAAAAATCTATGAAACACTTACATAGTTAGGCGATTAGTGAAAAAGAAAGCTAAAAACACTTTCACAGATTTTAACATTATCATCAACTACAAAGAAAGGAACTGTTAATTTGCTGATCACTAACAGTGAATCAAATCAATTTGAAAAGGAGACACTGCCTATTGGTAAAAAGGGCATATAGAATGGGCCTACTATAAAGAGTATTCGTTTTGTTTGTTCTAATAAACAATAAGTTACACTTAAAAAATTAACTAAATCTGACAAAGTGTTTGGAGTACAGACTTTTATACAAAAATTAAGGAGAACCAAGTGTTATGGCCGATTTAGAAACCCCTGGTAATGACTTTATAACAGCAATGTTGACAGACATCACATAATCTTATAGATTTGTGATAGAAGTTAAGTATTATAATATTATTATAATTTATGCTAATTGTAATTTTATTATAATTGTATTATAAGTCTATATTTTAATAAAGATCTTAACACGCAATCATTGATTACTCCATTTTTAAAACAATTTATTTTGTACATTAAAAGGTATTTTGATTATTCAATGATGTAGCCAGGGTAGTAAATCATTTATTAAATAATGACTTCCATTAAGAAGACAGTGAGATTGATTTAATGGCTTTTCATGCCCATTGCCACATCAATGTATGTAACAAAAGTTAAACACGACACCATGTAAACTGCCTGTTATTGTTAGCACAAACAAAAGTTCTTCCTTTCTCATCCAACCAATCATACTAGCCCCAGTTATGGTTCATAGTCAAATAATTAATCAAAAACGTGTTTTTATCTGTGTTCTGAAAATCAGTAAATTAAACTTCCATGAACCACCAAATTGAGCATGTTACTTGGCTGGGGACCCTCCACCGAAATGACAATACTTTAGGCTATGTCTAGACTGCAGGCTTCTTTTGGAAGAAGCTTTTCCGGAAGAGATCTTCCAAAAAAACTTCTTCCAGAAGACAGCGTCCACACTGCAAAAGAGCACTGAAAAAGCTATATGCTTTTTTGACAGATAGCGTCCACACTGAATGGACGCCATCTCGCATGTAAGCTGTGATTGCTATGGAAGAATGGCCCCCAGGGCACCTGTGCTTTTTCCTCTTTCCTCTTCTTTTGAAAGTACTCCCTCTTCACCTCTCATGCCTTTTTGCAAGAGAGCTCTTTTGGAAAAAGGCTTCTCTCTCGTAGAAAGAGGATTACCAACTCCAGAAAAACCCCTCTGTTCTTTCGATTTACTTTCAAAAGAACGCAATTGCAGTATGGCAAAACTCTGTAGTGTAAACATACCCCCAGAGACTAGACTATCAGCAAAAAGCTTATTGTATCTGTCATTATATGCACAGAGAAAGAAAGAGACAGTGTGCAAACTAGCCAGATATCAAACTATTTATAGATTAGAAACAATATGTGGAATTTCAAAGCAAACAAGACGTCACTATAATTAACAAAGCATAATTATAACACACTATAATAATGATCCACACTACTAGGCAAGCAGGTGCATCCTGTAATGACTGAAATTCTGTATAGCTTGATCATGGAGTACAGTGAAATTACCACATCACAATCCAAAATTATAGTTTTTAAAAAAATCTGTAACAATTTGTTTTGTCTTACTTACAGAATCGCCTGTCTTGGCTGACACAAAATGGCTACTGAAACCATTTTCCTGGCAAAATCGTTGGTGTTTGTCAGCTTTCACTGTTCGCATATGCTCCAAATCAACTATAAAAGGTTCAAAGGAGAAATTACTATAATGGAGCCCATAGTGGCATCAGTTACTCCTTGAAAATGTTTACAACAGATAAAATCCTTCCTTTAGGAAAAATAACCTAATACTTAAATTTCTATGTGTACATCTAAAAATAAATTACAATAAACGTTGAACTTTGAAATGCAACAAACATTTAAAATAAGAGCCTCCTTCTATGCTCAGATGAATACATGGAGCTCCTGCTGTCTCTATTAGGAGCCATGTCCATGAGTCAGAGTAAAATGCTCCGCATGAAAATGTGATACACTATGAAAATTCTAATACAATTCAAATACTGTTACAGGTAAAGGTTAAGCTTACAGATACATATCTGCTTCTATACAGTTTGAATCCAAGTTAAAATGTAAATTATAAAGATTTTTAATAAAGAGCGGTGCAACAAACATATCCATTACATTAAAATCCACTGAAAATATTGACATTAGTTTATTTGTAAGTGGAGTTTTAAATTCCACAAAGATATACTTCAGAAAGCTGTATTAAACAACATAAAATGCATATTTTAGAGTGGTGAGCATTATTTTCATTTTTACCCTTATATACCCACTGGAAGCAGAGCAAAACTTTTAAACAATATGTTTCATTGAAAAGCCCTGGGTGCTTAAAATACAACATGGATCTCAAGTCTTGTACAGGTTTTATTGTGTACATTCCAATTTCTGCAAATCTGATCCTAGAGTAACTGGGAGCTATATTGAACAGTTTCTCTTTTTATTGCATTACAGTCCCTATAAGGGTGTTGACTCAATGCCATCAAATTATAAGGCAAATATATTCACAAGGATTTAAGGACAACTAGGCTCTTTGAGTCAATACAGGAAAAAAAACTTAAACTGATTTCCTGAGGAAGGGACCCAACTGACTTGTAAAAACTTGTAAATTTGCAAATCTAGTAAGTCTGCATAATAGTGTCATTTGACTTAAAAAATGGTCTTATACTACATAAAAGGCTTTATTTAAAAATGATATTGGAGGTCTTTTATTTGCAGGCTTCTGGAGGGGTTTTTTGCAACATTTTTTATCTAACGATGAGATTCCTATATTCCATTTATACTGTGTACATTGTTCAATACAGAGCTTTTTGCCATATGTTGCATTTCCTTGCATATCACTGATGCCTTGTTTACAAGAAGAGGCCTAAAATCATCCACCTACCATAATAGGCATTAATATTGCGGAGGACTAAAATACTAAGTTAGTAACAGTAATGTTTACGGTAGTGGTTTATTGTAATATTGAAGCTAGAATAGTTATTTAACAAAAATAGGAAGAACAAATACAGTGAAGGTAAGTCTCAAATGAAGTCAATAACCAATTAAA